ATGTTTCTTGGGTTTGAACCTTCTGTTTGAAATGTGCATGTTCTCCCTGAGTCTGCGTGGGTTTACTCCGGTTTTCTATGTGAGATATGTATGTGAGAACACAAATGTTCTGTCAGCCTCCGAGTAAGATGTCCTAATAATGTCTGATGGAGCCCATGGGAGAATACTCCGGGAACATTTCATTGAAAGTCAGAGCAGACAATCAGGTGTTAGCGACTGAAGGATGCAATTATGTGAGGATAATGCTTGAAGTATCGTTGTCAATGCAAAAATAAACATTTCAGCTGTGTGTTCCACATTAGAGTTAATACCTCATGGTGTGCCTCCTGCACCCAGGCCCCACCCCGTTCATGAATGTTCCACACATGCTGTTTTAGTTTTAATTATTTTTACCTTCTTTATTTTATGTTTTGGGATGCCTATGCTTTAAACTCTGTTTGCTTTTGTTTTTTAAAATCAAACCAAACCATTAAAGATTCAGGGACGATATATTTACTGTTTTCCTTCATGCTCCACCCTTCACTCTGACACCTCTCTCTCTCTCTCTGACACACGCACACACACACACACACACACACACACACACGGTGGGTGTTCACTTTGTTACAAGACAGTGGGACATCATTAACTCTGTGAGAGGGGCCTTTAATGTAATTAACAGTGAGGAGACGATGGATGGGAGGTGGCAGGGAGGCGGCAATGGCCAGGTTGAGTAAATCATCTCACGCCTAGTCCACGACAGTCACACACACAAACACACTTCCTCCCCTCTCTCTCAACCCCCATTGAGAAAGTGTGTCTTTAATTAAAAATCCCCCACCCAACACACACACACACACACACACACACACACACACACACACACATGCACACACAATGAACGCAAGTACCAGTCCAAGTTGCATGCGCTCCAGTCAGAACATGAATGCTTGATTAGTATTAATCCTTATCTCCAAAATGGACAGCTTCTCAATTCTGTTTTTTCCTCGGCTGGCTAATTTCATGAAGAGCGTAATTACAGCATTTTCAATTTCGGCCCCTCTGCAGAGTTATGAGGCTGACAGTCTATCTCTGCACTGCAGCTGAGAGGGTTGGGGTGCGTGTATGTGTGTGTGTGTGTGTCTGTTAGTGAGTGTGTATCCACATATCCCAGAGTGTCTGCAGATGCATGATTGTGTGTTTGTGATGAAATGAGAAGGAGAATTAGCGGGTCATGTGGGTGACTAATATAACAGATAATTTGATGGCAAATCTAACTTGGAAAAGCAGCTGAAATCATGACAACCGTGCGAACTGCATTCCAGGCAGCAGCGCTTGTTCAAACACGGTTGATTTAGAAATAATGGCGAACGGAAATATTAAGACAATGTGAGTGCAAACATCGTGGTGCCAGCAAACCGATGCCTATTCCAGGATGTGTAGCAGTAGCAGTGTGATATCCGGTAATCTGATTTACTTGCTGTCTATCCAGAGTGTGTTCCAACAGTAGGAGGATGAGAAGCATGTCAGCCCTGATTACAGCTTCCAAACTGGCACGTTTGACAAAATGTGGGTGTGTGTATTCATGCCTGTGCTTTGGTCACTCTCCAGCAGGGAGATGGGAGCTGCCATGTTCCAATCTTTTTCAGCTTCTCTTTTCATCTCTTTCCATATCTCTCTCTTCCCGCTATCCCTCTCAGCAGTGTGACTGACCTGATATCTCCACTTCAACTCTCAAACGCTCAGTAAACAGCTGCCGAGCATATCCATTTTTTCAGCCTACGTAGTGTGTGTGTGTGTGTGTGTGTGTGTGTGTGTGTGTGTGTGTGTGTATTCTCATGCAGGCAGCTCATCAGCGATGCTCCGTCGACTTTGATAATAACTTAGGGCTCCGTGGCACTATGGCCCCCCAAATACTCTGTCACACTCCTCCTGCTCTGTAAACTCTGGCCGCTGCTGCCAGTAAAGCCACTCAGCCTTCGTTGATAATGAGCTCTGTGTCCTCAAAGATAGTCTAGTGTGGACAGGTGCCAGATTCCCTTGAGGTGCGGAGCACTGCGGGACTCCTGACACCAACAGGACAGCAGCTTAGGTCCTGAGCACACATTCCCACTGACTAATAGACAGTCATTAATTTAGACTTGATTAAATGGATACGTAATGGTGCCCAAAGGGAGAGTTAGTAATCACAGCGCTGGAGAATAAAGTAACGGGAAAAAAGAAGATGAATAGCGGTTGTATACAAAGTCAAGGAAGTTAGTATTAAAGTTTTGGAGAGTGCACTTGCGATAACAAAATTTTCTCATCCTACGTGGAGCACTGAAGATCATAAAAATGATTCATTATCTCAAATACCTGAACTGTGAAGATAACCCTGCAAATACTTGAATATAGGAATAGTGCTGCAGCATACATATCCATTATTTTGCATCTATTGCTTTTAAATGGGCCCTGTCAGGAGGATGGACTTCCCCCTGACCATAAATCTCCCCCTTAAAAGCCTAATGCGACACGGAGACACATATTTAGCTAACAGTTTAGCGTCGTAATTAGCATTTGTGAGCTCTCTGCCTCTGCCAAGTGCCAGCCGCCCAACATCTGTTCCACCTACTGCCGCCGGTACCAGCTCCTCCACCAGCGCCCCTCCCTCCTCCTTCAGCCATCTTTGCCTCTCTGTGGGTGGCAGCCGAGCACTGATCAGGTCTGGAGTTAGGTGATGGTCAGATGAAAAAGGAGGGGAAGAGAAAAAACAAGAAGAAGAAGAAGAAGTGACAGGTCAGTTTGCCCCCCCGTTGAGCAGTCTGACCGTTCATTTGAGTCTTAAAAGAGGGAGGTCCTCCTCCTGCCGCCACCTTGACCTAACCCCCCCCCCATCAGGTGCAATTAAATCACGTGGAGCATGTCAGGACACATCAGCACATCTTCAGCATATTCAGCCTGATGGGGAGCCTCTGCACTTGCCTGTTGTATATTGGATTTATTTCTCGCTCCAACGGTGATGGATTTTCCATTTGCCTGTTTTGTACGGTGGTGCAATATTGAGAGAAGCCGCACATTGAGACTGTTGCATCTCCTGTCACTCCCTGTCGCACACCGTTTGCTCGGTGCCATTTTTATCATTTTGCTCTCCCTGGCACGCCATGTTTCTCCACGTTGTGGGGGCCCATTTAACTCTGATAAGTCATTGTTCAGGCAATGCAGAGGGGAAGTCTTAACAGCGTGCAGATAGTGTCGCCCCCCCCCCCCATCTATTCTATTCTCTCCTTTCTGCTCTTCCCTTTCCCCTCCTTCTACCTTTTCGTTATCGTTTTGCCTCTGCCTCCTCTGGGCAAGTTGTCACTTCAGAGCCCCTGCCCCAACAGGAAGGGGTGGGGGGAATTATGACAGGAACGTGATGACAGGGGGAAGAGAAAGGGGAAAAGGAGAAGACGGTGGAAAATAAAGTTGCTCTTATCGGAACTCGCCAGGAGCAACGCACACACAAAGCTGCTTGGGAATCCAATTTAGTCCTCGCTGTTCGTTAAAGTGATATCAGTGCAATTAGCCGTCACAGGTTAGAGTGTGAGCTCCGACGCGTTAAGTGATTTCCTCAAATCCCACGAGTTTAAACACAAGGGGATGACGGCTCTCTAAGAAAAAAATAAAAGAAACTTTTTTTTTATGCGGCCTGTTAATAAATGTCAGCTGCCTCCTGGCTCCTTTGTTTTTCTCGTGTCAGCCGCTCACTCTGGATTTAAATGGATTTTCCTCCTCTGCATTTCACCACGATGGTGACTTTGAGCTTCTATTTAAACCACAAGGAACTGGATCGTGCTGTTTGTTGTTTTGTGGCATCCTTTGAACATTTATGCAGTAGATACGAGAAGGAATGTGAGCTTGATATGTTGCAGGGCTAGATGTGTTCTTTTTCTGTCTTTTTGTTTTGCATATTACACATGAAACCCTAAAGTGGCCATTACCCAAGGTGACAGACCAGAGAGAAACTCTGTGAAAGTCGTCCAGGATACATTAACTATTCTAAAAGTTACAGATCTTTACAACTTCAAGTTCCTAGTTTAAAATCCAGGAACATCTGTGAGAGATAACTTGAAGGAAGTAAGTTGACAACACACTGAACTAACTGTTGTCCCTTATCAAATTTATGTGAACGGTTTACAATGGTTTCAAGTGTTTTGAAAATGACATTTGTGTTCACTTTTGATGATGCAGAGTAAGAAGCCCAAACATTCTGGCTGATGTCTTCCTCGGTGCACAGGCTCAGTGAACATCACCGTCTTCATCAGCCTGTTTCAAACTGATGTGAGCTGTCAGGTGCACATGGTGGAAAAATCATACTGTCATAAAAATACAGCATTAAAAAAAACTGTGTGGCATTACAATGACTTAGACGTACTGGAGAAAATCGAGGATGCAAGAAGGAAAGATTACACTTGGAATACAAATTATAAATTCTGTCTGTCTGTGTGGACCGCACATCTCGAGAATTTGCAGTGTAGCATTCGGTGCGATTTGGACTTTTTACAGTTTCAGAAAGAAAACTCCAAGCAGCATCACCACAGACCAAACAAACAGTCCGTTCCAAACAGACATGTTTACAACAGACTCTGCACTCTATGGATACTGTATATACAATTTTTCCCTCCATCACCCCAATGTAACACCACACAGTTGTCTTGTAACCTGCTCTGCTCATATGACAGTATTTGATTTGTCCTGCTAGAGTTGTGAAGCAGGAGAGGCTGTGAGGTGTTTTTATCATCTTCCCATTCTGTATTCACATTTTTTCTTTTTCAACACAGAAACACCAGAGATCATTTTTCATGTAGTTTTATATCACGGCCACCACTTCATCTTTGTTTCTGTTTGAAGGAGGTCAAACTGTGACAATCACTGCTGCTGCGGTTTGCTCCTCTGCATTTCAAAAGAATACAGAAATATGCTCATTTAGGATTTCTCATGTGAACCACCACACCTGTTTGACCTCCTCCTTTCCTCTCTTCTCTCCTTTCCCTGGTCCCTAGGGGAGATCTGTGCGTTCAACATTCACGGGCTGGAGGCTCCGTTCAAAGCGGTGGTGCTGAACGGTACGTCCGGCGAGGGCCAGCTGAGGGCCCACGGCCTGGTGGACTGCGAGCTGCAGAAGGAATACACCTTCATCATACAGGCTGACGACTGCGGCTCTGGGCCCAAGGGTACTGAGGGCAAGAAGTCCCACAAGTGAGTGATATGAACACAGAGGCCTGATAAAATACACCAGTACACAATATGTACATGCACAATTCACATGGCCAGTCGTAGATTTGACTACATGCTTTAGAATAAGTGTAAATTTCTCCATTTGTCCATGAGTCAAAAAAGTGCTCAGCCAAATTATGTCAAAGCACAGGTACTTATTGTCTGTTTCATTATTCTATTAGACAACGGATGAAGTTCTGTCAAATGATCAGCTGATTATCAGTCAGAGGCAAAAAGCTCGGTGTAAAATCAACATCAAAATGTAAAAAAAGCTTTAAGTCTCTCAGCATGAGTGTTGAGACTCAGCTACTCCTCACATAGATGCCTCTCACTTTTACAAAACACTACACATTACCCCAGAGTTCCATTTGATTAAAATAACGCTCGTTACAAACTTCCAGCTCTGCCTCCTCCTCAGTTCTCGTTGCTCCAGTTGCATCCCAGAGAGCAAACGCACACACAGCAAATCATCCACCTCCTCCAACTCCCCTGACTTTAAGGAGGTCAACTGATAAAAAACTATTAATCACACTTGTTGGCCCTCCTGAAAACAGCCTCTGTCTGAAATTGCTCGCCGTGCAGCCTTTCATACAACTGCCTTTGTCGGCTTTATCCTTCGAATCTCCCTTCACTCTGTTACCACTCAACCCCCCCCCCCCCCCCCCCCCCAAATAGAGCCAAGCATTGAAAACTATCATCTCGTCTAGCTAGATGCCTTCACCCACGCACACACACACTCGTATGTTTGTGCAAACTGACATGTGTACACACGCTAAACCTGGAATTTGAGCATCATGGGTTTTCAAGCGTTTGCTGTGTGTGTGTGTGTGTGAGAGAGAGAGAGAGAGAGAGAGAGAGAGAGAGAGAGAGAGAGAGAGAGAGAGAGAGACAGACTTTGGCTTGTACAAGGTAAAGAGGGTGATGGATTTCTGCTTCTATTTTCATACTGTTGCGAAGGCAGATTTAGAATTTTTCATATAGAGACCTTGGTGAACAGAGTCATTAGGGTCGGTCCTGTTCTGGAAATACAGGTTTAAAAAAGGCTCCGGTTCTTCTGCAGTTACAAACTGCATGAAATTGCTGATTACAGTTATCATTTCGTGTAATAAACAATAAAATCATACAAAAGTAATTAATTCAATATGCTGTCACTCCAAAGGTTTTGGCCTCGTTTAAAGTACACGTCGATTGTATACTGCAGGTACAATATATCAATCAAAAATCATGTCATGTGATCCCGACAGGCAGAGTACTCACTCTGCTATAGGAGTCGCAGAGGGAGGAATCTGATTGGCTACGCCTGCCCTCTCCTCTGTGCCTTTGCCCATGTCTCTTTTTCGGCGCTCTGTTATGTCACACTGGTCGCTGTAATGCACACTCTGTTTTTTTGGGCGCAGTCAGGCCAATGCTGCGGGGAAAGTGAATTTGGGGACACTTTAAATGGACTGTCCTTTCCCCGGCAACTCTCAGAGGAGGAGTCTGGCCTTTCGCCGCAGCGCTCGCTCGCCAGTTCTGATTTAGAAAGAAGCTAACAGGGATAAGGAAGAAGCTTTGCCCGAGGCTTTGCTCAAATTACACATGACACATCAACAGCAGAGAGGGAAGGCAGTCAAGAAAATTAGCAGCTAAAGAGGACAGGGAAGAGGATCAGGAGTGACACAGGATGAGTTTAAACTTCTTTCTCTATCCTCTTTTCTTCCCTGCTCTGCTTACCACTGGCTGCTGGCCTACTTCTCATTCCCATCATTTTTTTTTCCCAGGCTGACTACAGCTCAGCTCGCTCCTCCTGTGTGACTCTGTCCTCTCTGTCAGTCCCTCACTCTCTGGTACAAACTCACAAATGTCTTCTCTCTCAGCTCTGGCTATAGAAATCTGTCTCTCGTGACAACTAAAATGCTTTTTTGTTTTTCTCTCCCAAATGAGACGTTTGTTCTGTTTGAAAGTGCCTCAATAAACTTTGAAATATGGAATCATCCTGTGAAGGTGGTAAAAGTCTTACCTCCCTTCTCGGTGGCATTGTCAGGAACATTGTCAGCAGGGTTGAGAGACGTGACATTGAAATTTGAGTCAGAGCACCAAAATAGCCGTGTGTAGATTTCACAATTCTAAATCTCACTGTTTGACTTTGGAAGATTTAGTCACTTTTTAGCAAAATGTAAAAACTTACATTGAACTCAATGAAACTGTCTCTGCTCAGTTCAAATTTACACAAAACCCAAATGACTCTATCGGCAGCATTGACATTTTGTAATCAGATTTCTATAAATATTTAAAGTAACACACTAAAAATAATACATTTAATTTCTACTGTGGTATTATATTATTATCCCATCAATATATATATGGATGAGAGGGTATGGGTTAGATCGTATGGGATCACAAGATGATTACCAGGAGAGCGGGAGAAGAAACGGGAAAAATGTGCTTAAAAGAAATTCTCTTTTCAGACTTAAGTTTGACTTTATTACATCTCTTAATATCACTCAGATAAAGAGGAAACAGCTTGTTTGGCACAGTTTTATATTTTTTCAATTTACCTGCAAACAATTCCTTTGCAAGAGGTCACAAATATAAATTGCTTTCACTGAGGAGCTGAAAAGAAAAAAAAGCTGGTAACATCACCACAGAAGTTTTGTCAGAAGGATTAGAAGAATAGTAGTATTAGTTGTAGTATATGTAAGTAAGAGTATAGTACAGTATAGTAGTTGTATAATTAATAGTCCTAAAATTCACATAGTTGTAGATGTGAATACTGAACCTTTAGGTGGGATGTAGTAAAAACATTAATATTATGTCACTAATTCAAAATCACACACACACACACCGTTTTCTCCGTGTGGTTTTCTATAAGTTGCTGTGGAGTAAAAAATCATAAGGGACATCTCGCTTCCTCACAGAATATGTCACATTCATTATCCTTTCCAGGAATGGCACCTTGACCGCAGCACGGGTGAGACACACCGGCCCGGAGGTTACATGCCTGGAGACTGTTGCCCAGTTGCCATGGGGATGGTGCGGTGGGGTGGTGGGGTTAATTAATTCATAACAAGGGTAGGTTTACCCCCCCCCCAGGGGTTATGTGTGCAAATAGTGTGAAAACTTAGATGTAATGGACACACAGATGATTTATTTTGTCAGTGTGGCCATGAATGCAGTACTACAGTTATTAAAATCATCTTTAGTGAATCTCAGAGGCCTGTGTGTCCTCAGCTCGCAGCAGTTTGGAGAGGCTAATTATCTCAACAAAACAGCACGCTGAAGGACACCCGATGTACACACACACACACACACACACACACACTGATACACACACTCACGAATCCCAAATGCTGAGTCGCATTCACACTGATATCCCCACATTTACATATAAATAATACAAACACCATAGCTGGGGAGTGGCGATAGATCAGCTGATTCTGCTTCGTACATCCACGTTCACACAAACACGCTCATGCACAGACAACCACCGACAGACACCAACAAGAGTAACAAAAGAAAAGTCACTTTTTTTATATGTGGAGAGAAGAAGTGGGCCAAAAAGCTGTGCCTTGTTAGCATAAGCTGTCGTTACAAATTCCAGCAATGAGAAAGACCAGGGGACTCCACACAAGACAAGACACTGTGCAGTGCTGTCAATGTGTCGCTGCTTTATTCTACCAAGATTCCAAACTTCTCGTTTGTCACACTTGAGTGAAACCTCATTCTGTCAAATCCTATTAGTTGACATGATTATTATTCCTGGCGAGAGAAAGTGGGAAAAAAATAACAACTAGTGTAGGAATATGCTGTTTATCTTCGGCTAACATAATGTAACAGGAGAATATAGTCTCTGTGTTTCAATTATGAATATGCACCATCAGGAACTGCACCATCTGTGCCTGTCTGCTGCAGTTACCCGACGAACGAAAGTGACAACCGCTCCCGTCCCATATTCAAACCACGATCAGGTGTCGCCAAACCTCGGCAGACCCTTGAATATTTTCCAGTGAAGTTGGACGAATGTCCCCTCAGAAGTTTAATTGTGAAGAAATGCTCTTGAATATCTGTTAAACGCCTAATGATCTTTTTTCTAACTATGTGTTTAACTGTACGGAGATTCCAGGCTGACGACCTGCGTGTAGTTTTGTCGATACTCCTCTGTGCAGTTGCATGATAGTCCAATCCACCCAATCAACGATTTGATCCATTCTGTCTGATGAGGAGCAGGATCTGGACATGAAGCTCGACATTAGACTGGATTAGCGTGCATTATAATCACCATGTATAAGATTACACATGGCTCCTGTGCTGGTGCCTCAGGGTGCTAGCCGGTGTGCAAGTGGGATTTCCTTGCATATTGATGAGGTAACTATCCGGTGTTGCTAATTCTTGACAAAGATTAATTGAGTCCTGTGTGTGTGTGTGTTTGTGTGCGTGCGTGAGTGTGCGTGTGTGTGTGTAGGAGACATTTAATAATGAGTGGCTGTGTGTAGCTGAGTGTTGATAACGAATGAGTGCAGATGAATATGTAATAAGCAGGGAACAATGCTAACCTGGCATCAACATGCAGCTGGTATCTGATTGTATCTGCATATGATTTAGCTGGACTGAAATCCCACCTGACACTTGAATACGTCTCCACTGCACTTCATTTTCTCATGAGATATTCACAACCCCGGAAAAGTGATTGCAAACATCTCCGTACTGTCTTTTTTAATAAGAGGAAGGACATGACAAAGAGAGCTGCTGTCATCAAAGCGTCTCGTAATAAAACATCCATCGGTCTCATTTGAACGATGTTTGAACACTCGCAGTCAGAGTTTAACACCTTTTCCACATCTTCACTCTGCTGGAAGAAAATCTCGTATCATACAGATGTGATGTAATATTTTACAACAGTGCGTTTAAAGCGACAGAATATTCAAGCACCACAACTGAGACTTTTTCTCATGTTGTTATTAAAATACCACGATCGATTGTATTGAATCGAGCACAAACCATTG